AAACTCTGGTTTATGATATTTCGAAGATCGTGTCAGAGAAAACATGAGGCGGTGTTTGTGCAACACATTCTAGTTCAAGAATACCACAAACCAGAGTTTCAGCTGGAATTGCAGCTCGATAAGAATCGTTTTAATCTGATGGAGTAGTATGCCTCCTAAAAGTTGCAAATCATCGCGCATGCTGCTTTATCGAGTAAGTGGCCCAGCGAAGGGATAAAAGTGACTGGAGTGAAACGGCCAATCAGCATTCTCCGGCTGTGCTTCGGTGTATATCAAGGGCCTCAAACTGGTTGTATGACGTATGTCTTCATTTCAAAGACCAAACAAAGTACCAGAAAAAGGTCGGCTGTCTGTATAAAGTTTTTTGCTTATTTATCCGCAGTTTCTGTGTTTTATTCTTTTTCAACAAAAGTTTTGTGCCTGAGGTGAGTTTCTACGGCTGATCGGCCCATATATATTCGTCACACGATGGCGTCTCTAAATTTGGATGTGGAACTCTCTGTCGGGCGCGTCTTCAATAGGTGATGTGGACTTACACCATTCCCATTATCTGTATTTATTTCTCTATTTCCGGATTTAAAGCTGGCCCGAATTTAACGTATGAAGACCACCCTATGGTGCCTCGTTGCGTTCTCCGCGATATCAAGCCACTTACGTTTTCGTCTCCTTGAACATATTTCAGGCTGAATTAATGTTAAACTATTCTCGCTTCTTTTCCCTTGTTGATTAATACGATCCTCGTCCTATTAGGTGTAGTTAGGTTTCACTGAGTCAACACCAATTGAGGCATATCAAGTTACATTTAAGCCTCATCTAGTCCGTCCACTCATCTATGATGGGAGCTGTATTGGAGTTGATTCAGTGACTCACACCAAGACAATATCTTTTGTAATCCCGATTGACAGCTAATGTCATCACTGCTGATCAAGTTTTTGTCGTGTAACTGAAGCCAATCTGTACCGAAAAAAACAAGCACTGTGTAGCCGATTAACGCTCATTGCGAATAGTCAGCGCAGCTCACGAATTTCAACAGGATTCAACATCACGACTAACAATGAAAGACCAACCTGGTCGCCTATCTCTTGAGGGATAAACATGGCCGTTTTGGCAAACAACGACTTTGGAAGTTGAAAATAACAGTAATGAGATTCATGTCTTTAGCCGTTCTATAGTCTTGTACAAATCCGGTGTATAATCTTCCACAGTACTGTTAGTTGCGAATGTCATGGTTTTACGAGGGCTGGGATACTGCCAGGGCGCCCACACCTAGGCAAGAGGACGATTAGGGTCCTCAACCAAAATCTTTGGCTCAAAAGCCTAACCGCAAGGCAGCAGCGTTTGGCGGGAAATGCAAATGCATTACCATTTC